ATGGCCTCAATGAAGAATATGCTCCCCTCATCACTTCTGCAATGTCCAGAAATCCGCCTTTTACAGTCATTGAATTAGAAGCTTTTTTGCTTGCTCAAGAAAACATGCTTGAAAGATTTAAGAAACCTGATAATGTCACACCTATTCAATCTCACTTTATGCAAAGACCTCCGTCCCAACCCAACAATGGTGGTCGTTTCTTTGCAGGCCGTAGAGGCAGAGATGGACGATTTTTTAGAGGTGGTAGAGGTCCACCCCAATCTTGGAACACAAATCGTTTACAGTGCCACATTTGTGGAAGACCAGGTCACCCTCCATGGAGGTGTTTCTATCGGTTTGACTCTTCTTACCAGAATGCTTCTCAAAGCACCACTCCATCCTCCTCACAAAACACTCAACATATGCGCACACCTCTTCCTCCACCTCCTTCCTTTTATAATTCTGCAACTTACTTAGTTGAACCTGCTTCACTTCTTGACAATTCTTGGTATCCAGACTCTGGCACCACCAATCACCTCACACATGACATTGGTAATCTCTCTTTTATATCTGAGTATTGTGGCTCAGATCATGTTCTAGCTGGTAATGAAGCAGGTATGCCTATTACCCATGCTGGTTTTTCATCTTTTACTTCACATGATTCATCTTTTACTTTCAGACTTGATAATCTTCTCCATGTTCCTCACATTACAAAAAATTTAATTAGTGTATCACAGTTTGCAAGGGATAACAAGGTATACTTCGAATTTTACCCTGATTATTGCCTTGTTAAATGTCAGGTAACCAAGGATATAGTCCTCCAGGGCAAGCTTAAAGATGGCCTCTATCAATTCACTGATGTTCATATTAATAAAATGCCCCATAATCCCAAACCCCCTATGGCATTGGCCACTTCTTCTGTCTCTTTTGATTTGTGGCACAAAAGATTAGGCCATGCTAGTTCTCCTATTGTAAAATTTGTCTTGCAACAATGTAATATTTCTGTTTCTGTTAATCACCTCAAACTTAACCCATCTGTGTGTGAAGCTTGTAGTCTTGGAAAAATACATCAGTTACCTCATTTTTCGTCTACTACTCATTATACTGCTCCCTTGGATTTAATTTTCACTGATGTTTGGGGTCCAGCTCCCTTTGCTGGTTTATCAGGAAGTAGATATTATGTCTTATTTCTTGATGCTTATACAAGATTTGGTACTCTTTATCTTATCCAAAATAAATCTCAAGTATATTCTGTGTTTATACAATATAAGGCAATGATTGAAACCTTAACTGGCTTAAAAATCAAGAACCTACAAACTGACAATGCTAAGGAGTTTACTTCCACTTCCTTTGTTCAGTTTCTTCATACTCATGGCATCACACATAGACTGACTGTTCCATATTCTCATCAATAGAATGGGAGAATTGAAAGAAAGCATAGACACATCACAGAAGTAGGTTTGGCTCTTTTAGCAAATGCCAAATTACCCCTTTCTTATTGGGAAGAGGCATTCTCCACTGCCATATATCTTATAAACAGATTACCAACTCCTGTTCTTCAATACAAGTCACCCTTTGAATTGTTGTATCATAATAAACCTGATTATAGTTTTCTTAAGGTATTTGGATGCACTTGTTTTCCTTTGCTTAGACCTTACAACAAAAACAAACTTAATTTTAGATCCCATAAATGTGTATTTTTAGGCTATGCTATGAACCACAAAGGCTACAAATGCCTCTCCCCTACAGGAAAAATTTACATTTCCCGAGATGTTTTATTTGATGAAAATGATTTCTCTTATGTTACTCTTTTTCCTACTGTTTCCATGTCAACTCATGCACCCACTTCTATTACAATTCCTCAAATACCTCTAGTTTCTCAAGAAACTGTTACTACTCATCCAACCAACTCCACTTCTACATCTACAGATTCTACTAATACATCTTCTAGTCCTCCAATTTCAGGTTCAGCTCAGACATCAACTTCACAACTTTCTGCTGATGCACCACTACCACCACATCAGAATTCCACTCCTCCTTCTGATCCTCCACCCATTCATCACATGCAAACCAGAAGCAAGTCTGGCATCTACAAACCCAAAACTTACCATACTTCTGTTCACCAGCATCTCTCTAATCTTCATGACACTGAACCTGCAAACATATCTCAAGCTATCGATTGTCCTCACTGGAAGCAGGCCATGACAGAGGAATTTCGAGCTCTTATCAACAATAATACTTGGACTTTGGTACCTCCTCCACCTGGAATTCAACCAATTGGTTGCAAATGGATCTTCAGAATTAAAAGGAAACCTGATGGCAGCATCCTAAGATACAAGGCCAGACTTGTGGCCAAAGGTTTCCAACAAAAGGAGGGCTTCGACTTTGGTGAAGTTTTTAGCCCTGTTGTAAAACCTACAACCATTCGTTTGATTCTGTCTATAGCCCTTACTCGAGGATGGATCATCAGACAATTTGACTTCATAATGCTTTCTTGTGTGGAGTTCTAGATGAGACTGTTTATATGTTCCAGCCTGATGGTTTTCATGCCACAGATTCTCCATATGTTTGCAAACTCAACAAGGCTATCTATGGTCTAAAACAAGCTCCTCGAGCTTGGTTTCATACCCTCACTCTGACTTTACAGCAATTTGGCTTCACAAACACCAAATCTGATGCCTCCATATTCACCAGATTCACATCTACTTCAATCACCTACATTTTAGTGTATGTTGATGATATTCTCATCACTGGTAACAACTCCACTGAAATAGCCTCTCTTATATCCAACCTCAACAGCATTTTCTCTTTAAAAGATCTTGGTTCCCTTCACTATTTCCTTGGATTAGAAGCTGTTCACACCTCACCTACTACTCTATTTAACTCAAACCAAATACATCTCTGATCTCCTCACCAAAGCTCACATGACTTCCGCTAAACCTATGCCAACTCCTATGATATCAAATCAGAAACTGTCTGCAACAGGTGACACTGCTTTCTCTGATCCCACTTTATACAGATCCATTGTTGGAGGACTTCAATATGCAACCATAACAAGACCAGATCTTTCCTTTGTTGTCAACAAAGTTAGTCAATTTATGCACAATCCTCTTGAAGTTCATTGGAAGGTAGTCAAACTAATCTTAAGATATCTTGCTGGCACTCTTACTCATGGTCTTGTTTTCTACAAGTCCAAGGATTTTCGGTTAATAGCTTTTTGTGATTCAGACTGGGGGTCTGACATTGATGATCACAAGTCAACTAGTGGTTTTTGTGTGTTTCTTGGATCCAATCTCATTTCCTGGTCAAGCAAGAAACAGCATGCAGTCTCCAGGTTCAGCACAGAGGCAGAATTTCGTAGTTTAGCTTCATCTTTGGCTGAAATTGCTTGGCTTCAATCACTTCTTCTGGAATTACACATACCCTGCAGCACTTTACCTACTGTATTCTGTGACAACTCTAGTGCTGTGATGTTGTCAGCCAATCCAATCCTTCATAATCGAACCAAGCATTTTGAATTGGATCTGTATTTTGTCTGAGATCGTGTTCTTCAAAAATAGGTTTTTGTTCAGCATATTCCAGGTTCCGAACAAATAGCTGACATCCTTACAAAACTGATTCCTGCTGCTGCTTATTCTAAATTTCGGTACAAACTCAAGGTCATTCCACTGCCCATGAGTTTGAGGGGGGGTGATAAAGGATAAGCTATATTAAGTTAGTTATGACAGTTATTTGTTAGTTAGCTTCTTCTTTTATCCTTTCTAGTCTTTCTCATCTGCTATATATAGCAGCTTGTAATCCTCTTCCTAATGATTCAATACATTCAGAATTATTCAGTTTACCTTTCTTTTCATTTCTTGTTTTCACTCCAAGAGTGAGATTTCGTTTATGTCATTAAGGTCTGATACCTTACAAAAGGTAACAACGAAAATTAAATAAAATAACATACAGGATTTCTCCACAAAAAGAGCATTCAAGACGATATTCTTATACAATTGGTTGGCTCAACTGATATATAATATTTTCCAATAAATGCAAGGACTTAAGATCCAGTTAAAACTTCACTATTTAGTTCCTAACATGTAAACCATGCCAATAGGCAACTAAAAAAAAAAAAGGTATGTCAAAAATTTACCAATTAGGATGCGACTTTTCGATTCATGCGTAATTTTTTTTTTTAAATAAATATTTTCTACTTGAGCTGCTTAATTTTTTTTGTTAGTTTATTGTTTAGAAGTTTGAATCAATTGACTAATATAATAGGCATGATAAAAGATAATATTTGTTCTTTAATTGTAAAGCAGTTAGGTTATGGATAACCATAGATAACCAATTATTTTTATAGTTTGGTAAATAACCAGTTTATAAAATAAAATGCAGTTTTATATAAAACTGATTTTTAAAAATAACCGATTTTTAAGATGTGGAGCGATTTAGTTATGGATCGATTTGGTTCTTTTGAACATTTTGAACACCCCTACTTGCGATTAATGCTGGCTATGGTATATTTGGAACTCATGTTAATTCATTGGGGCTTAAATGGCTATGGTATATTTGGAACTCATGTTAATTCATTGCGGCTTAAATCATATGCACTCATGGATGTTATTTGGAATATGTGTTTCTGGGTAAGAAATTACACGGTCATGGCTTGTTTTGTAACAGCACATATTTGAAATCTTAATGTTATATAGCATTTGCACTTTTAAAGTTATATTCTTATACACTTTTGAGGTACATTTACAAAATGCTTATGCAGATTTAGCATGCCACAAATATACGGATATGGAAACTTCTGGAAGATGTAGGAAAATGAGAAAACAACATCTTCATTCCTATGGTAAATTACATAGCCATTGAAACATTAAAGACCATACATATTCTATTATATTTTGGATCAATTGAATATCCCTTTCATGGTCCTTGGTACCACCAAAAAACTGCATCATTCACACAAAAGTAAAGGGGGAGGGAGGGTTTACTGTGGAAGATAAAATACGCATAAAACAGATATAACGGAGGAAAAAATGGACTAATGGAGATGTTTTAATTTCTCACTGCCTTCACATTTTACAAGAGGTGTTACTAACGAAAAAGAAAATTCAACAACCTCTTCCATGTTACAAGTCATCTATAATTATCAATTATCTCAATTACAATTCTATATAAAACATAGCTACATCTGTTGAATCACAATCTCAGTCTAAAAATGGTAGAAATCCCATCTTCATTTCTTCCACTTTTTCTTTCTACCAAGAAAGGACATTAAATTTTCACTACTCAACGGTTTATCCTATTTTTACCTTTTTCTGCTTTTGATTCTAACAAGCACATGCTTGAACCATCATGGATGCCACCACCATTAGTTTGTCAAATAAGTAAAGCTTCAAACAACCTTCTCATATTATTGTCTATCTTCTCTGCATTTTGAATCTGGAGACTGGTTTTGAATATTGAGAACCAGAAACCTGCCAAAATCAAATCCATGATAATCATAGGTTTAAGACCATGATAAAACTGCAAAGCATCATGGTACAGAAACCTAAGCAAATATTTTTCTTTATTCATAATACTATGTACAAATCGGGTAAATCTACCTCTAAGGAAGTTGATCTTTGTTCTCTTGAAGTTGTTTGAATATTCTCAGCATGCTCTATGATGGAGCCTGTAAAAGTAAAAGCCTGCAGAAAATATTTATTCAAGAAAATTATCGGCTGCTGCACATTTTGTTGCAGGGTGCATTACAACTTGTGAGGGTATAGACCATAAATGTAAACATACCTTGCTACTATCGAATGATGGAATGATGGTTCTGAAGTTTGATGCGGAACCTGTAAAGGAAATAATTGTACATGTCAAGGACCAAGTCACGTGAAATGTTAAGCAGTTCTTTGAAATCCTTTTGTTTTCCAGAACAACCACACTTTTACATATTTTTGCCAACTTTCAAATAGCATACTTTCAGTCTTCATTAATTCCTAACTCTAGCTTTCTCATTTAAAACTTTCCACTTCACTGTTGACACCTACATATCTTGCAAATTATAGCTTTGAGTCCTTCAGAGCTGTGCTGTGGTCATAAACAAAAGTAATACAACAGAGTTGTTGCAGATCTGTAGGCCTTACATCTCTTTCTCCTAATCTCAGATGTCCAACCTAGACAAATAGTGACACTATTGATAAACTTGAGGAGCAGACTTATCAGGAAGCAGGGAATTTTGTGATACCAAGAGCCATTCTAGTATGTATTGTTTAAGAGAAACGAGAATAATGAAACTTTAGGATTCTAGAGCTTAGAGAATCCCACGAGAAAGAGAAAAAAGCAAGAACATAATGTAGGAGAGGTAAGAATGGAGAATTAGGAAAAGAATGATGTATCTGTTACTGAAGACGGAATGAACAAGTAGAATACTCCTTCACAGGGGTCGCCCCCTTTACAACTGAGTTCCAAGATTCAGTTCTGCTAACAATCTCTAATGCATGCTTTCTCCATAGTCCATACAGCTTTCCCCCTATTTAACCACCCTCCTAACTACCTAACAGAATTTCCATTATACTAGCAACCCTGTCTAACTGTCTTAACCTCTCTAACTTTTTTTATATACGTGATTCCATGTTCTAATTTTATCTAGCTGAAGCCTAAAAGAAAACCTCAATACAGTTCAAGGCATACTGAAATAATAAAGTTGTATGTTCCTTCCAACTAGAAAATAAAACTTAGTCTGTTATCTCAAAGCAAAGGAAGGTAGTATTTGCAATTCCATTTGGTTCCAAAGCAGTATAGACCACAACACAAGAAGCAGGAAGCTATGATGGAAAATTCATCACAAGATCTACATACCTCAATATTCGATGCAGTAGTTGCTTGAACTGTCTTCTGTTTAGGAAGTATGGGAAGCTTCTCAATAGGAATAATGGATTCCACATTTTGTTGAGAACTTTTCCCATCTGAGAGTTCAGACAAAACAGAAAAACTAATTTCAGAATGGATGCAAACAGCACAGATACCCATTAAGAAATACAAAAAACCAAGAAACATGCATACACAGAAAATGAGAGTCAATAACTTATTGAAGACTAACCTCTGACCTTAGATTCCATTGCCAGGCTTGCAAACTGCATTTTGAAAATCAGAATGCAAAAGCATGATTCTTCAGCTGAATAATTATATAACATAATAAACAACTTTAACACTGAACCAAGACAACAAGAAAATACCATCTTACATTCAACTGATCCACTATATCTTCTTGATGATTATTCTTTTTTGGAGACTCAGTTGCTATAATGTTTCTGTTAGTCTGGTCCAGCGGTACGCATTCATGAAAGTCCTATTTGACCAGTCATAGAAAATGAATTATAAGCTATCACAGTCCATCGTGCTCAAAGCCTCTAAAAAGATTTCTAAACCAGAATTCAACAAATCAATCAATATATTACTTCTAAATTTTGGAGATTGTCATCAATAGGTCTCTGATATGAAATACCATCAAAATCAGCAGTAGGTTCCTCATTTTGATGACTCTGATTGTCACTTTCTGCAGCTAGCTCTTCTTTCTCAAGTTCATCCAATCTAGACACTATACGAGCATATTCCCCATCATCAGCTATAGCATTCTCAAAATTAAAAGCATCTTGCTCCGGTGGACCTGAAGAAGAATATAAGCATCCCATTCAATCATAATTTCAACATTTCGAACAAGTTTAGAAGTATGATCAATTGTTGGTGCATTGATAAACATTAACATATGAAACAAAATATAAATAAAAGAGACAAATGATAAGCATATATCAAAGTTCACATTTAAAAAACAGAGCAATGAAGTCAGAAACAAAAAAGAAAACCAGAAACTTAAAAGTGAGCAAGTCAAAAAACTGTTGAAGGAAATAAAAATATAATATGTTCTTCCACTTAGAAGTAAAGCCTACAATTATTCAGAAACTACTACAGATAAAGAATATGTAACCGGTTATTAAAAAAAAAAAAAAAGAAAAAAAAAAAAGAAAAGAATATGTACCCTTCACAGGGATACAAAAGTTATGTGTATGCATACACACAGTTATAAATGCATGTCTATCTACATGTATTTTGATACATGTATCCACTACTGCACATGTGTAACCATTTAATAGTTCATGTTATGCAGTATAACTGACTTGAATTATAAAATATTACTTGCATACGTATGTTGTTTAGTAGTATTGGAAAGCAGAGAGGTTAGAGAAAATATTTCCAGACATATGCTAATGATAACAAATCTTACAGTATAAAAAGTCACAGTCAAGAAGAATTAAGACTTGATTCGACAGAGGATGACACTTACTGCTAGTTGGATAATCTTAATGAATTCAAAATCTTGAGAGAAAGGACTTGGAACTTTATTTAGACTTTTTAGCCTTCTCTCTGTCAGCTTCCATTTATATATTAAACCTTGGAAAGCAACAGACGGCAAGAACTTGCCTGATTTAGATTCCCCTTCGTTAGAGCCTTCCTCCTCATAATCTTCCCTTATTTCCACAAAACCCTTCTACGCAAATTAAACCACCATAGTAATTAATCATTTATACAAACTTAAAAAATATTAATACCCAAGTGCTAACAGAATCATACAAAGACAAAAGCACAGGAAGAATTATATCATAAGAAAAAAATATAGCTTAGGATGCATAGCATAGGAAGCTAAGTTTAGTTCTGCAAACACTGCTAAAAACTAATAACAATTCACATTAAAGCACACTCAAAAGTTTTGCATGTAAAGATATTCAATAAGCATGTATATCCAACAACCCTTCAAAAAAAGAAAGAAAGAAAGAATGAAACAACAAATCCACATCAATGTTTTAGAATCCGGATCAGACAGGCTGGACCGTGAACCCAACTATATTTCCAATTCAACCACAAATTTAACTGGTTAAACTAATCGGCACTGACCCGGATATATTTCCGCTCCAACTTTTAGAAACAGTCAATCCGCAAATTCATAACAGAAAACAGTTGTGAATATTTGAAATCCCTTCAACAAAAATCAAATTCAGAGTTTCAAACTAACGAGAAAAGTGATAAGACAGAAAACAAGTGAACCCCACCGCTGCTTCAGAAGCTGTGGAATTGAAAAACGAAGACTCTGCCTCAAGGTCCTTGATCATGGCCTCAAGAGAATCAACATGAGAATCCAAGGACTTCCCTCTTCGTTGCAGAATCTCAACGGCTTGTTTGGACGTTCTCTCTGCATAATAGCCTTCTCCCAAAAGAACCTAACAAGAGAAAAAAAAAAAAAAAAACTCATGCCGCTGTTAAATAAATAAACAAGAAAAAAAAAATTAATTCAAAAATGAAGACAAGAAAACGCGTACCAGGAACTCGTTGGTGTGAATCAAACAACCTGGGAAGAACGCTGCTTTCCCAAAAGGAACCTAAGAATCAATTCCCAAGTTAGAAACCATTTTTCAGAGGGAAATTTGAAAAAAAAAAAAAAAAAAAGTTTTACGTACCATGATGTCGTGAGAGAGGTGGTCGAGGAGCTTCTGGACGAGGTTAACGAGGTTGTTGTTGTCGCCGACAAAACCTCGTAGGGTGTCGAGCTCGTTTCGCTTCTCGGCGATGGCATCTTCGACGCGCTTCGCCGCTTTCTGGGCCTCCTCCACCGGGAACAGAGACGCAAGTGACGTCACTGTTACTTTCCTTCTCGACTCTTCCATTTTCCCTCTCTCGCTCTCCTCGTTCTGGATCCGATTACTACTACTTCTCGCCGACCCAATCACCCGACCCGCCAAGTAGTACAATCTCAAGGGCCAGGTAAAAAAAGCCCAAGATTTTGGGCGGGCTTTGAGGATTTGAGTTTTGTAATTTTATATTTTTATTATGATCAATGTCAATTAAGTAAAGTTTTATGTCACGTACGTAGTCAATAATTGAATAATTGACAAACCAGTAGATAGATTTTTTATAATTAAAAAAAAAATTGGGATTGATATAAAAAAATGTGGAGATTCGATTGTTGAAAAAAAAACATTTATTTGGGAGTTAATTTTAGGAGAGGAAGAAAAGGAAATGGAGGGTTTTATTAGTAAGTCATTTCCTTGTTTGTGAGTTTTAAAAAATGAGGGGAAGGAATTGGGGATTTTTAGTAAACCCTCCACCCTCCTTCTTCTTAAAATTAAAGTTTCCCCAATTTGGGGGGTTTAAGGGAGAAAATATTAAAAATTACTTATCTACCCTTAGCATTAAAATGTGAAAACAACATAATTGTGAATCATTTTTAAATGTGACATTTTTAGAAAAGTCTCAAATACCGACATAATTTATCGACAAAAAATATTTCGTCAAAAATAATGATACTTTTTTTGATGAAAATCATAAATGTCAAAAAAATTCGTCAAAACTACAGACAAAAATAGAGACGAATCAGATTTTGTATAACCACAAAAAAAATTCAGTCAAAATTATTGATAGAATCTAAATTCCAACGAAACTTTAAACGAAAATATTTCTGTTCAACATTTTTACGAAACACATTTCCATCGAAAACTTTCGACGTAAAAAAATTATGTCAAAATTTTTTACGGAAAATATTTAAATCAAAAAATTTCGACGAAAAATATTTCTATTAAAATTTGTGACTAAAAATATTTCTGTAAAAAAATTTGTCGGAAAATTTTTTTGTCACCAATTTTTAAGGAATCTAAATTTCGTCAAAATATTTCTCTCAAAATATTTCACAAAAAAATATAATCATTGAAATCTTTGACGAAAAATATTTTCCTCAAAATTTTCAATGAAAAACATTTTCATAGTAAATTTTTGACAGAAAAAAATTTCATCAAAATTCTTTAACGAATTCGGAAACATTTTCGTTAACCTTTTTGGCAAAAAAAAATTCGGCCAAAATTTTTAACGAAACACATTTTCATCGACAATTTTCGGCAAAAATTATTTTCATCAAAATTTGTGACTAAAAACATTTTTGTAAAAAATTTTGTTAGAGAATTTTCTTTGTCAAAATTTTTTACGGAATCTAAATTTGGTCAAAATATTTCACAAAACAACATATAACAAAAAATATTCCCATCAAAATTTTCAACGAAACACATTTCCATCAAAAAACTTTGACGGAAAAGAATTTCATCAAAATTCTTTACAGAACTCAAGTTATGTCGAAAGTTTTCGACGGAAACATTTTTGTTAAACTTTTTGGCAAAAAAAATTTCCGTCGAAATTTTTAACGAAACTCATTTTCATCTAAAATTTTCGTCGAAAAATATTTTCGTCAAATTTTTTGATAAAAAATATGGGGAAAATGTGTGTCATTTTAAATGACACACCTTATATCCTTTCACTCTCATATAGAGGTGGCACCCACATCTTAAAAAAAAATCACTCATTCTCTCTCTTATGATTTATCTATTTCTCTCACTTAAAATGATACAAGTTTGTGTCCTTTAAAATGATACACTCTTTCTCCAAAAAATATTTTCATCAAAATTTTTAACACAACATACTTTTGTCAAAAAAATTAAACAAAAAATATTTTTGTAAAAATTTTTGACGAAAAATATTTAGATAAAAAATTTGGCGAAAAAATATTATGTCAAATTTTTTTATAGAATCTAAATTTCCATCCATAGAAAAAAAAAATTTCTTTAAATTTTCATTGGAGAAAAAATTTCGTCGCTTTTCAAAGAAAAGTATTCCGACGAAAAAATAATTTTGTGACGAAATTTTCATCGTTTGCAACGTAAAACTTTCATCAAAAATACGATCATTTTTAATATTGTGAAAAGTATAAAAATAATTTTGTTAGAAATTTTTAATTTAATTTAATTTGTAAAACAAATTAATTTTATTAATTTTAAAAAATTGGTAAAATGATAAAAATATCTCATTAACCCTCCATTTTTCTTCCTTACCATTTTTTTAACTCCCAAACAAGGGAAGAAAATACCCTCCAATTTCTTTTCCTTCCTTCCCCTTGGATTCTCTTCCTTCCCTTCCCCTACAAACTCCCAAACGAATTTAGGCTTTGTTTGAGAGTTAATTTCAACAAAAAATATTTCCATCAAAATTTGTGACAAAAAATATTTCTGCAAAAAAATTTACCAAAATTTTTTTTGTCAAAATTCTTTCGGAATCTAAATTTCGTCGAAATATTTCAACAACCAAGATATTCATCGAAATTTTTGATGAAAAATATTTCCATCAAAATTTTCAACAAAACACATTTCCATGAAAAAAAATTTATAGAAAAAAATTTCATCAAAATTCTTTACAGAATTTAAATTTCGTCGAAAGTTTTCGAGAGAAATATTTTCTTTAAAATTTTTGAAAAGAATATTTCCGTCAAAATTTTTAAGGAAACATATTTCCATAAAAAAAATCGACAGAAAATATTTTCGATAAGGTTTTTTATAATCATTTTCAATTGAACATATTTCTGTCAAAAAATTTGGACAGAAAATTTTTTTGTGAAAATTTTTGACGAAAAATATTTAGATTAAAATTTTGGACGGAAAAAATGTTATGTCAAAATTCTTTACAGAATCTAAATTTCGTCGAAAGTTTCAAATGAAACATTTCCCTCTAAATTTTTGATAAAACAATTTCGTCGAAATTTTTGTCAAAACATATTTCCATCGAAATTTTGAACGGAAAACATTCAGTCTAAATTTTTGGCGGAATTTGTTTTTCATTTAAAGCATTTGACGGAACCTAAATTTCATCGAACATTTTGTTAGAAATTTATTTTTGTAAAAATTTTCGTCGGATAAATAATTCCGTCATTTCTCGACGAAAAAATAATTTGTGACGATATTTCCATAGTTTGCAACTTACAAATTTTGACGAAAAGTACATAAATAATTTTGTTAGAAATTTTAAATCTTTTTTAATTTGTAAAATATAATAATTATATTAATTTTTAAAATGGTGTAAAATGGTAAAAATATCTCATTATTCCTCCATTTTTTCCCTTACCATTTTTTTTCTCCCAAACATGGGAAGGGAATACCCTCCAATTTTCTTTCCTTCCTTCTCCTCCTTCCCCCTTTCTTCCCCTCCCCTCCAAACTCCCAAAACAATTCTATTGAAAAAATATTTCCCTGTTGAAATACTCTCCATAAAAAGGCGACAAATTTTTTTATCAGTCGATATTTTTTACAGAAAAAAAATCTATCAATAATTATAATGGAATTTAGTTTCCGCCAAAACTTTTTACAAAAATAATTTCTTAAATATTTTCGACGAAAAGAAAAATTCTGTTAAAAATTTTGACGCAATATTTTCCATCCAAAATATTCGATGAAAATTTGTTTAGAGAAAAATTACAGCGAAATTTTTTTTGTGAAAATTTTTTATGGAAAAATATTTTTTCCGAAATCTTGATTCCATAAAGAATTTTGACGATATTATTTCCGTCAAAATTTTTAAATAAATGTTTTTTGTTGAAAACTTTTACGAAAATATTTTTTTTGACTAAAATTTTCGATGAAAATATTTTCTGTCAAAAATTTAGATTTTGTAAAGAATTTTGAGAAAAAAAATTTATTGAAATAATTTTCGTCACAATTTTTTATGTAAATATTTTCCATCAAAAAATTTCGATTAAAATGTGTTATGTTGAAAATTTTGACGGAAGTGTATTTCGTCAAAAATTTCGACAGATATGTTTTTTTGTCAAAAGTTTTTGGGAATTTAGATTCTATAAAGAATTTTGGCAAAAAACAATTTCTGCCGAAATTTGTTACTAAAATATACGAAAAATATTTTAACGTAAATATCTTTGGTCAAAATTTTCACTGTAAATGCGTTCTGTTGAAAATTTTGATAGAAATATTTTTCGTCAAAAATTTTGACCGAAATATTTTCCGTAAAAAAAATTGACGAAATTATTTTATGTCAAAATTTTTTTATAGAAATGTGTCTCATCAAAAATTTAGACAGAATTATTTTTCGTTGAGAAGTTTGACAGAAATGTTCTATCGAAAGTTTCGACGGAATTTAGATTCTATCAAGAATTTTGACTGAATTTTGGCGGAAATTTGGACAGAAATGTTTCTATCGTATGTCAGTGATTATGACAAAATCTTATTTTGTCTCTAATTTAAATTTTGACAGAAAACTTTCGGCGGAATTTAAATTCTGTTAAGAATTTTGATGAAATTTTTTTCGTCAACAATTCTCGATAGAAATGTGTTTCGTGGAAAATTTTGATGGAAATATTTTTCGTCAAAAATTTTGATGAATAAGTTTTTTGTGAAGTATTTTGGCAAAATTTAGATTTCGTAAAGAATTTTGATCCAAAAAATTTTTTGCCAAAATTTTTTACCGAAATGTTTTTATTCCCAAATTTTGATGGAAATATTTTTCGTCGAAATTTTTTGCGAATAATTTTGATGGAAATATTTTCCGTAAAAAATTTTGACGTAATTGTTTTACGTCGAAAATTTTCAATGAAAATGTGTTTCGTCAAAATTTTGGACGAAAATATTTTCGTGAAAAGTTTCGACAGAATTTAAATTCTATCAATAATTTTGACTGAATTTTTTTTTCGTACAAAATTCATGTTAATGATTATGGCAAAATTTGGTTCCGTCTCTAATTTCATCTTTAGTTTTGACTGAAATGTTTTTACGTATATGATTTTCATCAAAAATTTCATCACTATTTTCGACGAAATATTTTTCGTCAATAAATTTTGTCGGTATTTGAGACTTTTCTAATAA